TCTCTCTCTCTCTCTCTCTATCTATCTATCTATCTATCTATCTATCTATCTATCTATCTATATCTATCTATCTCTCTCTCTCGTCTGGAACATAGGAAGGAATTTTTATTTAAGGATATGATGGCCGTGATAAAAATTGTGGAAATTGCATCGATGAAGAAAGAAAACTCGTGAACGATAGTGCCTCTAGATACGAAAGTTCGTTGTTATCTTTGAAATATTGTAAAATCTTTATATCCGGGAGAAATAATACTCTTGACAATATTTTCGATCGCTGTTCGATAAATTCGATCGATCAATCAAACTTGAACGCTTCAACGCGCACATTTGTGCCTATGTATCGTGCGAAAGGAAAGCAATCGTAATCTTCGCGTTACCAGTTGAAATAAAATATTATTATAATCATGATTATTACGATTGACAATTAAGATTCTGATAATTATTATCTTTTATTGCTATTATTACTATTACTACTATTATTATTATTATTATTATTATTATTGTTATTATTATTATCGTCATCGTTACTCAAAATCATTGCCGCGATTTCATATATTATCAGCGTTAAATATATAGAAGATCGCGAGCGATTTATTTATAAACACGAACGAACAAAGAAAATTCGCACAACTATTGTAACGAGGATGATAATGATAATAATACTGTGTTACGTTGAAAGAAATAATATACGTTATAATTCTAAACACGATTGGAGCGCCTTTTTTTACTTCTTCACCCTTTCTTCTTCATTCCATTCTCTCGTATCCAAATATCTGTGAACTCTAAGAAGATCGATCTCTATACCATCTATCTATATACAGAAGAAATATTTAAACAAACTAGTGTAATTGTTTATTTTTAACGAAACGAGATTTCTCGCGGAGATACTTTTTTTTTCCCAAACCTTTTTTTAAAAACGTTTATACGTTCATACTCTATGAGTTAAATGGCGAGATATTCGGCGGTCATCGGACTCGTTCCTCCAGATTCGGTGGAAAACCGAGG